CCATAATAATATCTGCAATATGAGAGCACCATCATTAGGCTAGGCCTATCTGAAATGCTCCTTAACAACTTATTTAATACAGAACCCAGGAAGATAACTTTTTTAAAAATAAAGAATCAAACATAAAACAACAATATTCAGTTCAACAGTCATTTTAAGTTAATAAAAAGCATCTACTCTCTTATAAAGACATTGTCTTCTTTTTGTTTCTCATATCTTTTATTGGCAATTGATTTAATTTCAACAGAAAATAGGTACAGTTCTTAATAGAAATAATGCTTCCCTAAAATAAGTCTTTATTTTAGGTGTAAGACAGCAAATGCTCCTCATATATTATCACTGTGAATTTTTCTTGACAGGTTTTCAAGTCCCGTATTCATATCAAAATTTTATCTTGATTTAGTAACTAGACAAAAGGGCTAGCTTCATTTGTATGAACAGTTTTTTCAAATATGTATGTACTTGGATGCCCTTAAATTCTCCAAGTAGAAAGAAATGCTTTCCACAAAGCTGCTTATTCCTAGTAACCCACATCAGAGCTGACACATGAAAAATGGTGAAATTACTGAAGGTAGTCCAGCCTGAATAAGGACTACCTTATTAGTTCAGGTACTTGCATCTCCCTAATTTTCATATTAATCATGTGTCCATCTTTCTCTGAAATAGGGCCATCATGCTTCACGTCAGAATTTAGCATGTAAGTAAAATTCATAGTGCTTCAAATCTAACTTGAAAATATTTGTGTGAACAGAATGACTGATCGCATCACTAACAAAGTGAGATTTTCTAAAATGTTCATTTTTAGCCTTGCAATGAGAAAAGTAACATTAAGACATTTATAAAATCAATGACGGCCACCTATATCCCCCAACCCCCAAACCAACAACAGTACAGTGCTTCTAAGAGATTTGCTATACACTGTAATGTACCAATGCTATATATTTCTCATCAATTTTTACAGTTTCCACTAATTAAATATATACTGACTCATAGAGTATTACCATCGCATCAGTTGTCACCAGATGCAAGCGTATGCCATTTAAGTATTAACTGTCATATAAAAATGGCAGCTGGGTTGTTTAGAAGCCATAATCTGGTACCACCATCCCTAGTTCTCCGTAATGGATTAGCAACCTCATAGAAAGTATTATTCTCTCTGTATAAATCAGCAGTGAAAGAGAAATCTGCACATAACTATTTCTTCTCTTGGGCTAAATACTGTTATAAAGCCATGGTAAACAACAGATTTACTGATGTAGAAGAAAAAGTGTTAGTGGGTTAAATTTTCCCATATTATTAGAAGATGGAAGTTGAAATCAGCTAAATTATCTAAGCTCAACAGAACTATCCATTAAAAATTCAAATGAATATAAATTGTACTATATAAAACTTATGCAATCAACAACACCATCTATAAAAATAAATACCATGTTTGCATCACCTTTCTAAATGGTGTGTCTAGAAGGCTATTATCTCACTTTTATTTTTCAGAAAGGATAATCAAATCACGAACTACCTAGTTACAGCTCAGATACCTCAAATTACTCTGAGTATCAACTTGTAACAAACATATCTGGAGACATTAAAAAACCACCCTGATTCAGAAAAGGAGAAAAAAAAACAAAAAACAAAAAATTGTGTGCTTAGAGAAGAGAAATCCATTCTCTATATGTTAACTATCCTATCAGAATGTGTAGACATTGCCTAGACTACTAAAACCTTCTAGTAACTGATAGGTAATTGCTCATTTGCTGAGTACAGCAGTGTACAGCAGACAGAAGCTGTGAGGGAAGTCAACCTTCCTTGCTAATATAACATGTAGAACTTGCCGCAACACTTAATGCTTACAGTACAGAGTCATCTTTAATGCAAACACACATTTTCTGCCTTACTTCTATGTTTTCCATTATAACGCAACACAAAAACAGTGTACATTTCATTCCATCCCTATGAGGTTTGCATAAGCCCATCCAAGTCAGACTAAATATTGTATTGCTCTTATTACAATGGATAAATATTTTAGAGTTTAGGAATTAAATATTTTATTTTTCAGTATGCTCTCTGCAACTATTACGAACTTTTTACAGCTTCTTCATTCACAGGAAATCTTTAGGGTTTCCTTTTCTAAATGTAATGCTGTTAGTTGTTTCCCCAAAGAGAAGCAGATCACAGTTAACAAATAAGTTCAATAAATCACTTTATACTTAGTGTTAACAAGAATATTATGTTTCTTCTTAGAAAGACTTTTCTACCAGGCATGTATCCTTTATTTTAACAAAAGTCTGCAAACAAAAAAATGAATCAAATAAATGTTACATTTTTAAGTATAGATTTCTCTCTTCATTTTTATAATAGAATAGATTTTCTTGACATGTGTCTCTTTATTAGACACAGGTATTTCTCACACTAAATTAAGACAACATATCCTAGGAATAGCATGTCCTGAGCTGTTTGGTTTGTAATTTTCCACAAAATAAGAAACTACAAAGCTGTTTATACATTTGCCTTAAAAGAGGTAGACTAATTATGTCAACTAATTTATTAGTACATGAAGTTCTTGGTCCAATTATTAAAAGTACAAAGAGTTCAAGGAGCAATTTAAATGTCTAATGCACCTCAAAAGAAATTTTTAAGGTTAATTACAACAATTCTAAGCAAAGCTTCTTTAGATAGTTCCCTTCGGTTTTTTGCAGGTTTCAACAAAATCATAACAAGAATATTACCTCATTGGCCAGCTCCAGGAGCACTGGGGCAGCTCCATTTTTCACCACTCCATTCAGGTACCTAGACAAGACAAAGCCAAGTGATACTGCAGTGACAAGAAAAGGCCAGCATAGACTTGTCAGCATCCCTCCTGTGCGCACATTTCTCATGGGCAAATGCCACGTTCAACTCCTGTGAAAGTATGCTACTGTCATAGAAAAGTGTCCAAGGGGAAACCAGAACAAAACAACTTAGCTGAAAACCAACTAACTAACTGAGGTCAGGCAGGAGGTCTGAGCTCATCAGTCTCCCTTGTGTTCACCCTCTAACATGCCAAGTGAGCAAAGAGGCGGTTTCTAAAGAATGAGCCATATGACTCTGGTTTTGTCTGTACCACAGACAACCATTGCATGGAAAGGAAATCTAACGGCTCTCATAGGGTGAACAGCACCCTTGTACCTATCTCCCACTTTTTTCTTTATCTCTGCTTCACAGGGCTGAATGACCCCCTCCTAAGGAAAGAATGGAACCGACCTATCAGCAGGGGTGAGCACACCTTTGGTAGGCAATAGAAGTCATCATCTTATCTGCCCTGGATTTCTGTAATAACTTCCAGCTCTCACCACCACCTAACCCATCACAAAAATAAAAAACAAACAAAAATCTCCAAATGCATCCCAGACGTGGAAGATGGGGTAAATGTTTTCAAACAAACACTGGAACGTGCAATTTTCCTACTTTAAACACTTCCAACATCCTACACTACATCTGGTATATTTCTTCATAATCTAACCACTCTCCTCTCCCATTCTCATGTTTGGTTGCTGTCTGCCCCACTCTTACCCCTCACGGATAACTTACCATTCATTTCTGCTAACTCGCTACTCAGCTCGGATACCATCTTTTTCAATCTACCACTGCCCAAGAACACGTTCAAAGTACCCGTCATAGCAATGTAGCAGCACCCTGTACACCTCTCCATCACACAACACAGCACATCACAGTCCTCCCTTATCCTCTAAGGGCATGTTCAAGACCTACAGTGGATGCCTGAAGCCATGGATAGTCCCAAACCCTCTATTTACTATCATTTTCCCCCATACATATATATCACAAAGTTTAATGTATAAATGAGGAACAGTATGAGATTAACAATAACAGAACAATTATAATACCATACTAACATAAAATTATGTAACTGTGGTCTCTGAAAGTAGCTAATTGGACTATACCCTCACTTCCTACACTGTCAGTGGGAGATAATATAATGTTAGTGTGATGAGATGAAGTAAGGTTAGTGACACAGGCACAGTGACATAGCATTAGGCTACTGCTGACCTTCAAAAGCTAGGTCATGTGGAAGATCATCAAGCTAGGATGATGCTGGTTTAGGCTAAAGAAAGTATTACTATACTTGTCTGTGTCAAATTCATCCCCTACTCTAATGCTGAAAGCCTCATAAGGGTTGTAGAATTCTATTTTATTCATTTATTATGCGTAGCACTGTACTTGGTTTGTCACGGATTGATTGTGTGATACATATACATATATACTTTTTAAAAAATAAATGAATATATAGTGTCCAAGAAAACAGAATCAAGGATGGATATTTTCTTTATAGTATATTGTTTGCATGAGTAAATTAAGGGTATTTATCTTATAGTAAAAAAATAAAATCAATAGATGAAGCTTTCCATATAACTATCAGAGGCAGATTCTAAATTACATTACTTCATAATTATACTTACAAAGACATATAATTTTGCTATAAGCAAGGGGAGGTAAAATCAAATTATTTCAAGTAGGAAGAGCTTCAGGATCATTATAACTTCATATTAATTCTAACAAATGCATTTTACATATACTGAGACTCTTGCTGAATATATTATTTAGCAAACTAACAGGGAAATAGGACTTTCAGATGTAATAAGAAAAAATTTATTAAATAAGGCAAGGGTGGTTTAGAGAAAGATCCTTGGGAAATAAGTCAGTTGAGAACCTCAACTCACAGAAACAACTCTCACTGAGGGGCCTGCTCAGGAGCAACCAGTCACGGGTTTGTAACCACAGAGAGCATATGCTCACTTTAGGTCAGGGTATTTGACCTGAAACTGACATCAGGATACCTTTACAACTCTCTATTTAACATTCAGGTATTCCACAAGAATTTCCTGAAGGGTTCTTTTTTGTTATTATTTTTTATCAGTCCGTTTGCAGTACAGCATATAATGATCACATTCCTTGTGGGGAGTTGGTACGTGCACGTAACACATCAATTCATGCCCTTCCCTCTCCATCTCCTGGTTCCCTTCTCATTTGAGAAAGATCTATCTCTCTACTTCCTATTATCTACCTTTCATTTTGCTCCTTATTTATATTTTCACTTCCATATATAATATTTAAGCTTCTGAGAGCTATGGGTAGGCCTTATTCCAAGCTGAAGAAGCAGCAGGGAAAAAAACATTCCTGTTTTCCAGAGACATTCCAGTGGCTGGACAGTTAGCAAAAACAGGGGAAAATAAATACATACTATAATGATACACGCTAGGGTAAAATTTAAATTTAGATCAGTTAGTCAGGAAGCCAATCTCTCTCTAACTAGACTGGACACTCCTTGGGGAAGGGCTACACAAGTCCACAACAGATGCCTAGCAGCACTCTGAGTTGTAACTGGGATATAAACATGTTCTCCTGACCATCCATCGCATCACAATACTACAGTACTACCTTACCAACACGAAAATACAACTGGACTATTCCTCCTTAAAATCTAAAACTAGGCCCATGATACTTATTTCAGAAGAAAAATCATAATCCTTTGAACAAAGATTCAGCACCTGCCTGCCTTTTCAGGCTCATTTTGACTTTCTCCATTTGTTCTCTATGCTCACACCCAAAAAATCGGAGCTTTGCCGCTGTCTTCTCTACATCTAGGATGTTCTCCTCTTCCTAAAAAACCAAGTCTTTCATTTCTAGACTGTGCATCTTCACATGGCTCCCAACCCTCCGCATGGATAGCTGACAGAACTCCACAGTGCTCTGGACAGACATACCTATCAGCACTTCTTACTGCTTTTTCCCATTTTTAAGTACACATCTGTTTTCCCACTAATCTCTCATAGAACAGTTGAAGGCAGGTACTCTGTCATTCACATTTGTATGATCAGTTTCTAGCGTAGGAAATGGGACACACTGAATCCACAATGAATGGTGCTAACTGAATAACAAAGTGGTACAAGTTTTCAGAAACCATTTTTATCACATACTGTCAATATCATATTTGAACTAACATTTTCTCCCTGTGGACATCTGAATAATTGATTGGATTCTCTAAAGCTACTAAAGTTGGTTCCTTGGTCAGTGGGTACTGGGAGAAGAGATGAGATGGGAGACAGCGATCCTTAACTTTGCTATTGATAAGGGTTATAAATCTGACTATGTATGTGTGCACAAATGGTCAGATCCACCAATTTAGATGAATCTCAATAAATTTTACCGAGAACGTTTCCTGTTTAGAAATATAAGGATAATGTGAAAGAACGAAGAACTGTTTTCAAAATGAACACGGGAGCTGTCTATAAATATACAACATGGAGAACTGAGAAAGTTTCCTCAATAATTCAAAAGGCTGAGAAAACATTCTCTACTGCTATCTGCAGCGTATGAAGTTTCAGTTAGCCATAATGCAATCACGTTAAGTATGGACACTGAATTCTTAATTAACATCATCTCAATGCTAGCAGGAATGCAGACACAGAAAGTCTCACTTGCCAGTAGGAGTGTGGCTAGTACATCTCCAGACAGTAATTTAGTAACATATATTTTTTAAATGTTCACATTGTTTGTACTAGTAATTAGATAGAGAGAAATAAAGAAATGACTCCAAAGTGCAGGCTCATGTGTCAAGATGTTTACCACAGTATTATTTACGATAACAGAACCCTGGAAACATACAAGCTCAAGAGAGGAATAATTCAGTAAATTTTCATACTCTCACATGATGAACTAAGGCAACCAATAAAACAAAAGCTTTTTATAAAACAATATTATGCCATATACATTTTTCCAGGTATAAAATTCAGGAATCATGACTGCACATAGAATATGACCTCGTTTATATAAAAATGGAAGAGACTGGAATGAAATTTTACCCAGTAGTTATTACAGCAGCACAACTATGGGCAATATTCTTTTCTTTTTGTACATACCATCACAAAGAGGTTTAATTTTCACAATGGGGAATATTGCTTTTATAAAAGAAAAAAATTAAGTTGTTATTAAGGTTTTCAAACCGCTTAAACGTGTCCTGATATTACACAATTTGCCTTCATTCTAGTTAGGGGAAAGCAAACGAAAACCTTATTTAAGGCCAATTTACCTTAGTGAAAGCAGGAACCCACATGTTTGAAGTCTGAAAGGTAACAACAGGGCTGTTCCCCAGGGGAAAGAAGAGGAGCTGGGTGGCATAATGAGAAACTGCTCAAGCTGTTCTCTTCTAAGGCCATTATAGCCTAACTCCATTTTTTTTGTTTCAACTACTCTAATCATCAGAATAGCTAAGTGTCATGTTTAAATAAAGTTAAAAAAATGAACATATTTCTATAGTCTCATTATTACCTACTCAACTGTCCATTACTGAGTGATTATACTTAAAATTGTACTTCTGACCTAAACTACCCAGATAATACCCCTCAAAAGTATCTTCAGACTTCAATAATTAAATATGCTTCTAATAAAACTAATAAAAAAGATTCAAAGTAGCAGCATAGAGATTTTAGAAGTCATCCAATTAAAAAAAAAAGAACTCTTTGCATAGTGAGGCAAATGAATATCAGAGGGCAGTCCCATCACATGAGAGGGGGTCCCCAAACTTTGAACACTATACTTTCCTCTTGTTAAAAGGCTTTAAATCTGGTCATGGAACCATGATTTTACATGACAGCCTAGTACCATACAATACAAACAAGAATGTATTTGGGGAGGGCATACAGAACATTAACTTCTCAGGCTTTGTAGACGTCATAGGACTTCATGAGCCATTCATTCTTAATTTTATAGTGTATAATTTAGGTTATGACAAATTTTAATGTTAATTTCACAAAGGTGGTCATGAGTTTTGAAGAAATTCTTTCAAATGTTAAAAAGATTTCTTTAGAGAGAAACTCTGCTGGCCCAAAATGTGTGTTGGGGGGTGGGGGTGGGGTGACAGGAGGGATAGTATGTGTACATTTAGTAGATTTAACGATGCAAAACAAAGTGTCTTCTACTATCTAACACAGCAAATAATGTTTTAAATTTAACTTCAGTAACTTTTCTGTTCAATATCTACATCTCAAGTCTTAAAAAATGACTTTACCAAAACATGACACCAGTATTATATCCATATATTTATTTCATTTGTAAAATTTTTGTGCATAAAAATCATTAATTTAAATCAATGGTGTCATTCTCACCACAGAAAAGCTGACCTGTCAATCCTGAGTATAATTTAAGAGATATTTCAAACAATTTTCCTTTCCAATATGCCCTTGAAATATTTAAGACTCCAACCATTTCTAACGCAAAGCATTACTTTTAGTGCTATAAATTATTCAATCATTAGCATGACAGTACAAATTTTAGAATTAAAAAAATCTGAGCTACTTTGAAAAGTCTTAATAAAGCTGAAATTAAAATATCCTCTCTGGATACTATGTTGTTGATTTAATACTCAAGCTTTTCATTTTAAGATACAAAACCTACTTTAAAATGTGACAGTTATAGAATATATCTTTAAATGTCCTTACTTGATACATGTCTTTCTTTTAATTTCTAAAATGGCTAGCTCAATACTTATAATGTAAAACACAACTACATCAAAACTCAATCTTATTTTTTCCATTTGCTGATCTAAATAAAAAATAAGTGAAAGTTGGTTTGAAAATTTTCACGTTTACATATACATACAGGTACACAGGAATGTATGCATCTAAGGCAAGATCCTATACTTGTTATAAAAGTCCTAAGTAGCCAAGTGAGATTCAATAATACTGTACCTACATCCCACAGAATATGTATTTATTCACATGTGCAAACTCATAAAAACACACACAAAGCATTACCATGTTCTTCATATCTACTAAAGAAAGACTTGGAAGACTTACCCAAAAATACACTACAAGTTTTAAATAACAGATCCAAAACACAATGTATTGGGATATGATATAGAAAATTAATTTCATAATTAATTTTATTCATAATTATTATAATTAATAGGTGTATGATACCCTCTAGTGGGGCAGGCAGGTCATACCTCTGGTAATAATTTTCAATCGCCTCCAAAGTATGATGTTTGCCATGTGTTCTTTTAATATGTTTCTGAAACAAAACAAAACAAAAAGAAAGCTTTATGTTGTGTCACAGAGTAAGTCCAAGAATAAGAATGACATGTTTCTTGATCCCAATGACTAATGTATAGGGCAAACTGAATAACAGCTTGGGGATTTGGGCAGTGCTATGACTTTTTTCCCTTCTACATTATGAACCTATGCATTTTAATCTCTATTGCTGGCTGGGATGTCTTCAGACTGCACCCAAGGTACAGTATATATGTAAAAGCCAACGGGGTCATAGTAATTGAATCTAAATAAGTTTGCTTAGGGCTGCAGAGGGCAAAGAAAAACTTGTTCCCTCTTTCAACCTTTGTATTAATTTTTCCTCAATTCAATTCCTTCTAAGTCCTCTGCACTCTAGTTTTACAATCCAATTGCCATTTTTAACCAGGAAGAACATTGCTTAAAAACAACTTATTTGAAAACTACAAAAAGTAATTCCATAGAGACTTGCCACTTGACTGACACCTGTCATCTCATGATAAATGACTCCATTTTCTGCCTCTCTTGCCTTCTGCCACTCCAGCAATGGTCATTTATCATCATCTCTGTCAGCAATGGAAAACGGCACTGACAGTGCAAGTCAGCAAACATTTAGCACATGGAACCACGCAACACAGGGAAATTATTATTGTCAGAATAATAATGGTTTAGCATAATTTATTACAGGTCCACCAAATAAGCAAAGGCTAGATGTTATTAGACAGATGGATGGGTAGGCTTGGCAGGCCTCCACTGAGACGCAGGCGGTGCTTGATGTGGAAAGGAGAACATCCTCCAACCCAATCAGAAAGCTGGCAGTTCAATTACAAAGAAATAAAGGGACATTCATCATTCAATTAGGCACCTGTCAGGCCTCACAAAGGAGGAAACTTCTAACCTGGTACTCCTGGGAGAAGATACTCAGCAGAGTGGCCTGCGATTGACTGGAACAAATAAAAGAAGGACAAAGTTAATTACTGGAGTGCACGGCAAAGAAACAAAAGAGAAAGCAGCTTCAAAGGTAGGCCTGCTGCCCTGTAATCTAACAGAACACGAAAACAAGTGTGGAAAAGTTGTTCCAGATGAACACCTCAAACAAAGGCTTCCTGCTGCTAGGTCAAGGGGAGAGAAAAAGGGAAAGGGGAAAATGTGAATGTTCTCAAGGCAGGTATCACATTATTCAGATCATTTTGATACTCTGAAATAAGTATAAATCATATCTATAGTATGCAGTGGTGCTAAAAAGGACTACAGTAAAATAAGGTCTATTTCCAAAAATAAATGATAGAGTTAAAGTCTCATAAATAGTACAGGACACACAGCTCATTCATGGACAACATCCTGCAATTTATTTTGTTAGCAGACAGATATCTTCTTCAGTAGCTATCACAGGTTCAGGGGGGGAAACTTTGTTCTTTCCTAGAAGTAGCACAGAAACCACTGGAATATTCCCACTGACACCAGTGTACTTTGAAAATAGAAGCTTCCCAGCAGGAAGCAGAGGTCCTTGGAGTGCATCATTCCCGAGGACTGCTGTAAGTATTATTCATCTAAGGCTACACACAGTGTCAAGCACTTGGCAATGAAGCAACCTGGAAAACATTCTTCTCAAATGGGTATTTTCCTCTTGCAATTGTTAACATTTAGAAATGGAACAGAATCTTTCTTTCCTCTTTAAAAGCAATCAATATTCTATTGCTACATTTTTGGATTGCCCTCTGTGATTGACCTGATCATATCTTGAAAATGACTATTTCTAATTTTCTTTACTATTAAATCCTAACTAAAGAGAGGGTACTTTAATTTGACTTTTATGGTACGCCAAAGTTCTGTGAAATAATATTTCTCTACTTATGAATGAACCCTCTTTTGTTCTGTTTTTGGTACCAGGGATCAAACTCGGGGACCTTGCACTTGCGAAGCAGGCAACGGAACCACTGAGCTAATTCCCCGCCCCTGAATGAATCCTCTTAAGTACATAACAGAGAATTTTAAAAGTATGAAATATAAATGACACTATATTTGTTCACTCATGGTCACAGTATTGCATCTTCTGGATACCATCGTAGATTTGGTTTCTAATCCTCACCACTCACACCAAATTTTATAAGTAGGTGAGCAAAAAAATACCATAGATGTTCACTAAGGAAAGCTCATACATAATTATAGAACTATTTCAATAAGTCAAAAGTAATGAGAAATGACTGAATACAATTATAAATTCATTATAGTCTGATTTTTTTCAATTTCCCCTTAATTTTGGAAACTACCCTGAAAAACCCAATTTTATATATAAAATGTTCCTATCTATTATGCTTTGCTTGCCTCATCTTAACATGCAAATCATATATTGGGTTCTGACAACAAGCTTCTCGGGAAAATAAACAGCCAAATGAAGGCCAGAACTTTGAAAACTATTTAATTAAAATGTTAGGAACTGATATGCAATAAACTGTCCCCCACTTCACTGTACAGCAAAATAAACTTATGCTATTAACCATTTAATGACACACAAAATTTCAATCTCTAGGTTCCTAAAGATATGATGGAAATAATGCATTCGGAGTGACTAATGAAGTGGAAACCAACGGTGAATAAAACGAAATGTAATTGTAGGTACCCAGATTAAGAAGACTTAAGAGACAGCTGGAAGATAAACAGTTAAGGTGACAGTTAAGAGTTGAGAGTACAGTATACATTGAGGATCAGATAGGACAGGGCCTGTAACCAGAAAAAAAGTGTCTTTAAACTGCACAGAAGTCAATTCAGCTACAAACCAGGGGCACAGCCTCCCAGTTTTCCTGTGACCAACAGGGTCAGTGAGAAGATTCCACTTACAATAGGAGTAAATCTGGCTGGAACTAGAAATAGAAGACAACTTATGTTGTCCCAACAAAAACCACACGGGTCCAAAATGTGCAGAGAACTAAGTGACTTTGCTAGGGAGTCTGGGAGTCCACAACCCATTCCTGTGTGTGCTGACCTTACAGAAGAGGCGTCTGAACAAGGGCCATATCATAAAGAACAGGAAAGCAGTTTTGGTACAACCAATATGTTGACCCCACTGTGTATTTTTCACATTTTCTTCCAGTGTGTTAATGCTGACAAAGGGTATCAGAAGGAAGGACTGGACCGGGAGGGAGGGAACACAGGGTTACAAGATCTCAAATCTGCAGGTCTAAAGAACTTAACTGCTACCACCCTCATCCCACCATACTACTATCTTTATTTTAAAGATGGGGAAATTAAGAGAAGTTAAGGAAAGCACACAATTAAACAGCTAAATAAGTGGTAGAGCTGAGAATCAAAATCCAGATTCAATTCCAGAGCCTAATCCCTTATTCGCCATGGAAACCAGCATTCCTGCCAGTACCAGAAATCAGATGTACAAGTGACATATGCTAATATCCCAGTTTAAGCATTTATATGATGTCACATTACACTACAAACAACTCTGAAACATGTTGCTTTTTTGATAGAAAATTGAAGCCACAGGAAGTCAAGTGTTTTGACCAAATTCCATGGCTTCAGATAATATTCCTTTCTTGAAAAATCAAATTGCAGTTTTCCTTTAAAGAGCTACATAAAAAACAATGTTGTTTTCATGTTGAAAGATAAAAGAACTATGAACTACAGAAAACAGCAAAGGATTAAAAGATTTTGAGTCACTTCCATTATTCTCCCTGCAACTAAGGTTTAATTGCCACCATTGCCAGAAGCATCTCTATCTCATTGTGTATGTGTCTTTTACTCAAATGCTATTTACTTCATATAAAGCAGTTTTAAAGCCTTCCCCGAACATGCTAAATATAAATAACCCAATCTTATCTACAGAGGATAGCACTCTCTATAAAGGTGTTAATTTAATGAAACAATATTTAATGAAAAGTTTCTGGTGGTGAGCAGGTAATAGCAGGCAGACGAGCTGGGTTGCTAGCGGTCCCTCGGGGTCCTTGCTGGTGTCCAAGGGTTGACTTTGATCCTGGCTCCTGGGATACGACAGATGGTAGAGTGGTGAACAGCAGAGAAACAGCCTCTCCGAGATTTGGTGTTCATATGCTGGAATATAGCAACGTGAGAAAGAGGAGGAGGAGGAAAGTGAGTCCCCAGGACCCAGCAAGGATCTGAAATAAGAACTGAAGCCATGGGGAGAATGAAGAGAGAGACCTCAACGCAGAAGGAGGTTGCAAGCAGTGCTTTCTCCCTGACCCGTGACTACTGCATGGGAGGGGTGGCTCGAACCTGCAGAACCATGGTGACTACTGGCAACCCCTGCGGCCTCCATGGAGTGGAGGCCATCAGTGGAAGGGAGCAGTGGATGCAGCAGACTGCAGTGGCTGGTGAGTTATTAGGGTTCAGATGTCCCCCAGGAGAGGGTGATTGGCTGGTAGCCATCTTGGAGAAGGGCCAATTGTGCTCAGAACTCAGAGCAGCTCTGGGCTGGCTCTGTCTAGCGGCTCCCAGTGTCAGGGTGAGGCAGAATCAAATTCAAGTCAGCAGGAGGTCAAGGAGCTGAGTTCAAGCCAGCAGAGAGCCCAGAGTTCAAGCCAGTGGGAGGCACACAGAGTGTTGCAGGCTGAACAAACAAGGTTATAGTCTCACAGACAGAAACCAGCCTGAACTTCAGTGAACTAAAGGTGTAGGCTTGCTGGGATTATCCATTACTCTACCATATAGCTATGGCTGGCTTGCTGGTATTAATCAACACAGATCTGGGCTCTGTCTGCCTACTCTGTCTACCAATGACAGCAGAGACAGGCCCTCCCTGAAGTGCACAATTTTTTTCTACTTTTCTTTTTTTTCTTGTTTTGATTGTTCTTGTTTTTGAGTATGAATACTGTTTCTAGTTTTCTTATTGTTGTTGTTGTTCTGTTCTTTTTATTTCTTCCTTCTCTTTCCCCATCTTCTTCACCAGTATCCCAAAGTTCATGTAATCTTCCTTTGTCCTCCAGCCTTGCTTCTAATCTCCTCTTTTTCTATTTCTCTATTTTTCCCCCAAACCCTTTTAAATTTTCTCCCCAGGGTAAAATCACTATATTGAGGGCATATTTACTGTATACAATTTTCTGGTTTGTTTCAGATTTTGTTATATATCCACAAATATAGTTCATACCATTAAAGGTGCCAAATTAATGGTTAACACAGTTTGTCATTTTCTAGGCTGTTTGATGCTATTGTTATTGTTAATTTAAGTACTACTTTAGCCAAGTTGACATAATTGTACTAATCAGTTGTTCTTCCTGGTATGCCAAGACTGAGAATGCCTAAGGGTCATAAATAATACTACAGGCCAGTGGCAAAGAACCAGGAACTAGTGTAAATAGGCAGCATCTTCTAATCCCCAATAAATTGAAGAGGTACAATCTTGCAACAGACTCAAAACCCAAAGACAGCTACACCTGGAAGATATCTCTGAGAAGTAGTCATTTCCTAAGTGTCCTAAATACTAGGAATAAAGCTACTTGTCATAAGGAATGTACAAACATCAACTCAGGAATTAAACTAAAAAAAAAATTTACACACACACATACATAATGAAAAGATACTTAAGCAAGATGCAACTTCAGATTTCCAGCTCACCAAAGGCAAACCCAGCGGGCAATGAGGTGTAACAATTTGAAAGCCACCCCACCTGGACTCTCTGAAGTGGTAACAGTGGAAGTAACAAAGCAGATGAATGAGGCTCTAGAAAAAATCAAATCAGAAATAATCTCTCAGATAAGTACAGAGATGGTGACCATAATGAAAGACATGGTTAGTGACTCTAGAGCAGATAAAGATGAAAAGTTTCTGAGTAATAAAATATTGTGTATTCCGTGTAAAATCTAGATGTCCACAGTCAGCATTCATTCTGATTTATAATCCTCCTGTGTTTTCAGTCTCTGTCAGATAAATATGAATTTGTGTGTGTGTATACTTACATACACAATAATAAACATAAAAA